CGAGTGTTCGAACCGTAATGCGCAAGAAATGGTAAGTAAACCCCGTATTTACATATCTGCCACCTTGGGTGGTGGTGGCAGAAGACGGTGGTGGAAAATGGTGGCAGGTGGTGGCTAGTGTTGGGTGATTAAAAAAAGAAAAATTCAAAACTCAAAACGGATACACATTTTTTAAGTTTACATTTTGTGGCCAAATTTATAAACAGAGACCACTGATTTATGTAATTGAAATTTACCAAACAAGTTTATATTTCAGTTGTTTAAATTTTGTAAATATAATTAGAAAATTGAAAACGTATGTGTTACAAGACGGCACACCAAACAGACCCTTTGTGTTTGGGAAGATAGTTGGATTTTTTTTGTGATTAGATGTGATATTTGTGACAAAAAAATTGAAATAGTATGGGATTTGATATGATATTTTGTGAGGGATTTGTTTTTTTGGGTTTTGAAAGACATTTTTGTTGTACTGAAAAAATAAAAAAATAAAAAAACTGAAAAGCCAAGTTCCCAAACACTCCCATAATTTGTTGGATTTTTTAAAAAAAAAATTTAAATTTTTTTTATTTTTAACATAAAATGTGATGTTTCATAACAAATTATTACAATACACAAAAGTACCATCCATACACAAAAGACACGTGTAGAATACTGAAAAAAATAAATTTTGACCGTTGTTGTATAATAAAAAGAAATGCATTGTATTATTTACACAGCACACAACCCTCCTATTGCGTTGTCCAAGAAAGCAACTTCACATCCAACACTTTGCAGAGTTCAGTGACACATTCACAGGTAGTCTGACATGCTATAAGGCCATTTCGGTCATTTTACCCTCCTTTTCATTATTTGTCTTATTTTATTTCATATATTTTCGTAAAAAGTCAAAAAATTTATCCCAAACAACTAGGTTTTTTTTTCTTTACATTTTAGCCAAAAAATCAAAAAGTTACTAAAATAGCCTGTTCCCAAACGAGGCCTTATTTAGGATACCCCAAACAACCCCTTATTATAGCCTTCTCTAATTTTTTTAGAATTATATGTTAACAAAATACAAGTACTTCATTAATTTAAAGAGAAAAAAAAATTCACAATTTTAAGTAGATTTAATATTAAAAAAATAGAGTCTATAATATTATTTTAGATTTTAATATAGAAATATAAATAGAACAAAATGAAATTTTTAAGAATTTTTAGTTTAAGGTCATTGATATTAAAATTATATAAGATAAATGATATGTAATATTTTTATAATAGTTGTAGTCTCTCAACTTTTTTACAAAAAAAAAAAAATTCACATAAAAATTTCATAACTTCGTAGAGAAATTCAAAGAAGTTCATACTGCATATCCTTTTGGGGTGTGAATTTTTTTAAAAAAGTTTATGGGTTTGTTTTGTATAGAAAACATAGCATTAGAAATCTAATATGTGCTTATTTATTCTTCACCTGTTAAACTACAAGTAAAGAAAGTAAAGATTAAGGAATAGAAATCACGGTTACTCTGTGTTTTTCTTCATTATACAAGAAGTGGTTGGCGTATATGGTGGTCGCGGTGGGACGACAGTGTGGAGGGGAGGGCAGGAAAGGAAATAAGATGAGGGGAATAGAGAGAAAAAAATGAAGATCGGCTGTAAGGAATGGAAATGAAAGATGAAGAAATGGAATGAAAGAGGTGAAAAAGAGAGATCGGTAGTAAGCTGTGATTGTCGAACCAACAACTAGCGATGATAGTGTGGCCAGTAATTACACGGCATTGCGATGTCGTAGGGGTTGGAAGGTTCGGTGGTTCAACGAGTGGACCTGAGAGAGAGGGTAGGAAAAGACAAATAGAAAGAGTTGGGTGTGTTAGTGTTATTGAGGGCCTTAACTAATAATAAAATATATTGGATCTTTCTTACGATTAAAGTTAGAGAAAAATGTTTCATTATTTTTTTCAAATTTTTACATATAAATTATATTTGTATATAAATAATTAAAAAAAGAAAAGAAAAGAAACACGAACACTATGTTTGGATTGAGTGATTTGGAGGGAGAAAAAAATAGAGGTATATTTATTTCTTTTACTTATTTAGATAGCTTAAGTAGAGAGAATTACACGGCATTGCGATGGCGTAGGGGTTGGAAGGTTCGGTGGTTCAACGAGTGGACCTGAGAGAAAGGGTAGGAAAAGACAAATAAAAAGAGTTGGGTGTGTTAGTGTTATTGAGGGCCTTAACTAATAATAAAATATATTGGATCTTTCTTACGATTAAAGTTAGAGAAAAATGTTTCATTATTTTTTTTCAAATTTTTACATATAAATTATATTTGTATATAAATAATTAAAAAAAGAAAAGAAAAGAAACACGAACACTATGTTTGGATTGAGTGATTTGGAGGGAGAAAAAAATAGAGGTATATTTATTTCTTTTACTTATTTAGATAGCTTAAGTAGAGAGAAATTGAGAGAAACATAGAAAAACTCATTTATCTTATAACCCTCATTTCCAATATTCTCAAAAGTAGAGAAATTGGGAGAAAAAAGAAACTAACATATTCTTATATTTTTATAATACTAATTTTTTCTCTATAAAAATAAAAGAAATACAATGATTGACAAAATATAAAAATATTATTTTGGTAATATAACATAAAGCAGATTTTTTTCTTTTCCCTTATGAAATCTAACCAAATAAGTAGAAGAGAAATTACAATTATTTTTTTTTATTTTATTTCTTACGCATCCAAATAAAAAGAAAAGAGAAATCACAATCCTTTAATCATTTAGTTTTTCTCTTATAATTTAAATTATCATTTCTTTTCTTTTCTGTCATAGTTCCCAAACATAGTGGAAAGAGTAATGCTAGAGACATCAAATATTCTACCAAAAGTTTTACCAAATGTCTCACATGGGTGTGGAACCCACACAATGTGGGTTCCATATGGATCCCCCACAACATTTAGTAAAACTTTTGGTAGAATTTTTGAGATCTCTAGCATTTTTGTAGTGGAAAAGAGAGAAAGTGAGGGTTTAACAAAAATAAAAGGAGAATTTGTTTCCATTAATATTCGGACTCTCGCTTTCTAGGGTTTCAATCGTTTAATCTTTTTGTTTCATCATGGGATAGTTACTAATTATGAAGCCGACTCGTCCCTGATCTGCGCGTAAATTGCTCACAATTCTCACAATCGTTGCCGATCTTCATGTGGTACGCATTTGAAGCACTTTTATACTCACAAAAGCACTGATGATTTTGTAAAATTCTATGCTAAGACGATGATGATCAGATAATTGATGTTTGCCCCGAAAGCATGAATTTGACTATTGGTTTCTGATTATATCGGTTGAATTACACATGCATGTGTATTAAAATCCAAGATTGCATTGCCATTTAGTTTTCTTGATGTAATTCCAACTGAATATGAATCAATATTTGTGTTATTATATGAATCTTATACTAGGCTAATTTGTGAAATATTCGTTTCTCTTCATCTGGATGGTTCTTGGGATTTGTAGGGTACCTTTTTGTTTTTGTTTTTATTTTTTATTTTTTGGGTGCTTTATCCTTATTTTTAAGATTTTTAAGATGTGTTGATAGGGGACAATACATCTTAATTCTTACCTAGAGAGATATTGGGACTCCTGCTGATGGGTGCTCCTAAGCAGAAATGGACATCAGAAGAAGAAGCTGCCCTTAAAGCTGGAGTAGCCAAGTATGGGGCAGGCAAGTGGAGTACAATACTCAAAGACCCAGAATTTAGCGCTTCCTTGCATTCGCGTTCAAATGTGGACCTAAAGGTAGAAGATGCTAAGCTATAGCATGTACAATTTTGTTACTTTTGTTGCTGAATTGAAACTTACTAAATTTTTCACATAAAATGTCCTAAGTTGATTAGGGAAGATAATGCCTCTGTTTGTTGTGTCCCAATTCCATTAATAGACTTTGTTTTGAAGTATCAGTGCTTATTTCTCCTAACTAATAAAAGGACATTGGTGGATGTGGTTGAATATGGCCAGGATAAGTGGAGAAATATGAATGTGGCAGCAAATGGATGGGGCTCTCGTCATAGGGGTAGTAGGGTTGCATTAATAACCTATCAGCCGATTTCGAAGCATGATGATATGCCCCTTAGCATTGTTGGTCAAAGTGAAGTAGAAATTGTTGATGCTAAGCCTCTTTCGGTTTCTAGTGGAACATCACAAAATGATTGCCCTAAGAAACCAATTACAAGGTAATATTACGGATTTACTTCTCATCTTTGATATATGTTACCCTTCTTTGCCCTGATTACTGGCGTGGCATACATTTGAGTTGTTCTTATTCTTAATTTAACTTTGTACCTTTGGAAAAGTCATGAAGGGATAGATTGATTTACTTTAAAAGCGAGTTAGTTCTCGGATATTATTGAATCTTGAGTACTCAGACATAACCAGACAGCTTTGGTCTTGGTGATGGATGTTTATTATCCTGTGGTGTCTGCAACAGTAGTTTATGGGTGATCTGATATTTATATATTCTTTAAACAAATAATGAGGCTGAAACAAAGCTTTTATGTAAGATGCTAGGGCACTCATCTTATTTGGGTTATTGTTGTTTCATTATGTAGTGGTATGGATAATCATTAAAGCATGTCTTAAGACGAGCCGAGGACCACATTTCAAGCTTTTGACATAGAACTTGCCTCTATTGTTCTCTCTCGTGCGGTTGGGGATGGGGTGTTTGTTAACATTTTGCCTAAAATATTATGCTTATTTGTCATGCATTGTGTATGCCATATGATGTTTTACTGAACTTAAATGCAGGCAACTGAAAGAATTCACTCCTGAAAAGTGTAAAAAACAGAATTAGACGGTATTACCATTTCTGCCATATTGTTATTCCAGACTCAATAACATCATATGGCTCAAACATATTAGGTCTTTTATGTTTCTAGTCTTGATTTTTGAACATAAGAAGGTAAGCATGATAGAGTGTTTTGTTTCCACGTTACTTGATGCTATGGCTATGGTCTATGTTTGACATGTTTGAACTTGGAAAATACAATTCATCTATGGAAAAAAGCATGTACCTTATCCCTTGAGGAGGTGGGAACTATGTGTGCTATGTGGCACAATAATAAACTTGTATTTGAAGTCATTCTATATTGTTTTCATTTGATATCTTTATTGCCAAGGTTTGGATTTTGATGAATGTAGGTTGGATAATCTCATATTGGAAGCTATTACCAATTTGAAGGAGCCTCGTGGGTCTAGCCGGGCTGCAATTGCCATGTACATAGAGGTATTTCTACTTTATTGTCTTTACATTATGATTCCAGGATTTCATTATTTATGCAGAAAGATACATTAGGTGTTTTACATGCTTGCATTGCTTATATGTGAGAGATATTCTCTTTTCGTTGTTCACATCCCCTCATTTTGTGCTGTCTCTGTTCTTCATGTCTTTTTGGTTTCTTATGAAAAATAAGAAATATTTCAAAGGAATTCCACTTTGAAATGTAAAATGCTGCCAATTACTGCCAAACTTTTTTTCTTGTTTGTTGAAGTCAGCGTGTTAGAAATTTATAACAATTGTTTTTAGAAACAATTTATCAATGGGTCAGACTGCAGTGTCAGCTATTACTTTTTTGTCATTTCAGGTACCTCTAACTAGGCATTTAGGATATAACTCAACTCAACAGGCCTCAATTTCAACTATGTTTGGTTCACTCTATGGACCATAGTGTGCTCTGTGCAAAATAATATCTTCAGTCAAATTCTAGGCAATCCACTAAGAAGCATAGTCACGGACACACAACACGGCTATGCCAACACAATAATTTTCCAAAAATGCAAGACAGGACACGTGAGGGACACACACACAATATATAATTTTTAAATGTTACTTTTATGAATATTTCATTCTAAAATAATAAAAAACACAATATAACACTAGATTTATTAAGTTTAAAGGATGAGGTATTATTATGTTTATATCTATGTTGTTCTTCTTTTATCATTAGATCTGAAGTTGTTCTGTTTAAACTTGTAATGTGCTGTGTGTGTTAAGCGATGGACTCGCATGCCCCCCAAAGTGTCTGAGACATGTTTGAGCCTTCTTCTTCATCTTCTTTCTTTTTGGTATCCAACTTGGACACACTAGGCTTGTTTGGTTTGTATTTGAGAAACATGTTTTGAGAAAAAAAGTACGAAAATTTGTTTGGTTTGGTTTTTTTTCAAAAGATGTTTTGAAAAATTATTTTGAGAGAGAGTTTTGGAAAAAGTGATTGATTTGATGTGTATGAGAGAGAGATTTGTTTGGAAAACTTGTAAACCAAACAAGTTTTGGAAAAAAAATTTGGAAAAATTTGTTTGGTTTGATTACTTTTAAAAATTTATTTGTAGAGAATTTTTTTCAAAATTTTTTGAGAAACACAAACCAAACAAGGCCACTATCTTCTAGAAGTGTTTGTGGTTCTTAGTACCCCATTATCATCCTTGCCCACTATCCTTTTGACCTTTTTCTTGATCTTTTGGTAGCCTCCAATTGGATGAGTGATTTTAGTTTCTTTGTTGCCCTAACTAGTTTATGTCAACTGTCTACCATGGCCCTAACAATGTTAAACCACCTCCTCCTCATCTCATCTTCAATTTGTGTGACTTTGAACTTCTGAAAATTGTATTTTGTCTCTTATTCTATGTTTTCTTGGATGGCCATTTTGTAGCTCAAAACACTCATTTTGGCCATAGTATGAACATTATGTTTCTTAGAATCTCAATGGCCCAACACCCTTCATTATAAAGTATGACTTGCTTATACAACTTTTCCTTGCAAGTATGGTACTATTAGAAAACATTGTAGAAACAAATTTTCATTTACCTGTCCTATTCTAATTCTTTGAGCTACTTCTATCTCAATCTCTTTGTCAATATGAATAATTGATCTAATACACTAGACATGTCATTCCTAGGAATCTCCTGGCCATCAATCTTCACTAATAGTGTTTCCAGAGAGTTTATTAGATTTGTTTACCAATACTTGCCACAACATTTTGTAAATTGATTTGGGAAATGCATACACTTTTACTTCAATGTGCCAAGATTTCTCAAAACTGGAAAGTCAATTAATAGATTGATTTGTTGAGTTCGACTTCGTTTTGTTAGAAATGATTTTGACATTATTAACATTGATATTGTAGAAGCAATACTCAGCACCACCAAACTTGGAAAGGCTGTTGGCAGCAACCTTAAAGCTTTTGACTGAAAATGGAAAATTAATCAAGGTAATTTAGTTAATCCATAATGATGGAATAACTGTAAATAGATCATTGCTTTTAGCTTGTTCTAATATGAGGCAGTGAAGGTATTGAATGGAAACATCGATAAGCTGTGCATGCCTGCAAAATTATCAGAATTTTGTCCATTGTGTTTTTGAAGTATTTGTTATTCGTTGACTGAAAATTAGAAGTTGCATTGAGGTCTATGAAGTATGGAAGACATTTTAAGTTGGCAAATAATCATGCTGTAACCACAGGTAGCATTGAATGGTGATTTCTGTCCGCACATGGAATGGTGGTTCCAAGAAATTTGAGATGACATACATAAGCATCTATCTGAGCAATGTCCGTTTGGCCAATGAATACTTGTCCTTACCTGTTTTTATGGACTTATTTGGTTTGTTACTTGACCTCAGGTCAGCCACCAAGTGAAACGTTTTCCGTTTGCATTCACTAAGTGAATCTTCTAATGAATTATGTGGTACGAAGTTACAATTCATTCTTATGTCAGGCATGATGTCATGAAATTATATTTATCAAAATGCACTCATGATCTGACGCTCCTCATCTAGTAGGTTAGCAAGCTAAGATTAACAAGTTAATTTCCCTTCCTTTATTGATGAGTAACAAATCATACGGCTAGCCAATTTTAGAAGTTCTTGTTCATAGGGGTTTCTGCAGTTAAATAGTTGGGTTATTGTTTGGACTTGGATCAAAATTCTGCTATTTGCATTGACAGGTGAAGCATCAGTACAGGATTGCACCAACCTCGAAACACTCTGATGTAAAGAAAGACTCTTCTCCTTCACTCCTGGATGGAAAGCAGAAGAATATTTTGAAAGTGGAGAAGAATGAGATCAAAATTCCTACTAAATCCCAGATTGATGCAGAGCTAGAAAAGATGAAGACCATGACTGCACATGAGGCTGCTGCTGCCGCTGCGCAAGCAGTTGCTGAAGCAGAAGCTGCGATCGCAGAGGCTGAAGAGGCAGCAAGGGAGGCAGAGCAAGCAGAAGCTGAGGCTGAAGCAGCACAACTTTTTGCTGAAGAAGCGATGAAGGCTTTGAAATGTAGAACAGTTTGTACCTGGTAAATTCCTCCTATTGTTGTTTTATTTTATTTCATTTCTTTAAATATGAATTTTATATAAAGATGAACCAAGGGGGCAACCTGCACGCAAAAGTAACTCTGACAACTATACACCAAAATTTCTTTTCAAAAAGTCTCAACAAAGTCCAAAATTTAATTCAAATAGCTTGAGTGGTATTTTCTACCGCTGCCAAAAGGAGAGGTACAATAATTATTGGTTGGGTCATGTGTGTGTGTGTGTACCTTTTTTATTTGGAAATAAAATGCAGTTATGAATCCTTCTGAATCACCAATATTTAGATTAATGATTTCCTTCTTTCAAACAAGATTGTTACTTGCCTGATACTAATAGTTATTTGTCAGATATACTATGATGCATCTGCACCATGGGTCGCATACATAATAAAGCTTCCATTTGACACCTAACATGCATTCACAACTTGTGTTACAGTGGGGAAAAAAAAAAATTCCCCCAAGTTGTCTGGTTGTGACATGCAGAAAACAAGAGCTATAAAAATTGTGAAATTCTTTTGCCCCTTCTTCCCTCCTCCCCCAATAACAATTGTACTATAGTGAATTCTGTCTTCTCAGCAGCTTTCCGCTCTTGGTTACTGTATTTGATGTAAAATTTCTCATTTATCCTTTTAACTGTCTTATTCTTTCGGACAAGTCTCTAACAACAATTCTTTGTGTGGTGCAGATTAGTCGCCGAGCCACAATCCTGAAATTGCATCAAATCTTCGTTTGGGTACCATCAAAGAATTGATGTCAGCCTAAAGGAAGACTTGGCAAAGCTCCATCATAGCTTGCAGCTATATTTTCCGGTAGCATTCATTGTTGGGTTTCATGTTACTGTTTTCAACTTTTGGACAGCAAGATCCTGCTAAAAAATGCAGATAGCAAAAAATTCAAAATGGGTATTGAGTTAAACATGAACCATGCGTATAACATGGATTAACACCCATGCTTATGCACAGGTCTGAGCGTAAATATGGATAGGCTTGTAAATTGGAGGAAATTTTTGTTTAGTAGTTATAAGTTTTAGTATTTACAGCTTTGAGATTCATAATGGAGTGGAGAAGGATACTAGCTGAAGATATATGTAAATAGAAATTTCTGATGCTGTGCTGTGCTGTGCTGCATTATTGCACTTATGATTCACCTGCTATTTTGACTGTTATGTTATCAAAAAAGAAAAAAGAAAAACCGAGGGAAATATTTATATCTTTTTAAATACCAGCTAATACAGATGCTTGCGTGTTTTAATGGTTGATTGTGCAATTATGTTGACAGCTTTGGCTCTGGATCTTTCATTTGCCAACAATTTGAAAGCAGTAATTTATCTAGTAAACCATCCTTTATCTGCAAATTTAATAATAATGATATTAAACCTGCAAATTATTGTTTGACAATCCAATTATATTATTACCCCCAAAATTTTGGAGTTGATTTTGGAGGCCTGTGAAAAGTCTGGAAAATGGATATTTGTTTGCTAGAGGAGCTTCGTTTTTTTTTTTAAAGGCTGAGTTTTGATTTTGAATTTTGTGAAAGGAGAAATAAAAAAATAGTGAATAAGTGACAAGTCCACTATCTGTTGTTTGAAGATGTGTATTACTCAATCATACTCTCTCTGCTACTTTTATACACTTGCTCTTCTGCGCTGAAGAGCTCTGTACACTTCCTTAAGCAAGTCCGTAGTGTTCTCAGTTTCTTCTTCGGAAAGATGTGAATGGACGAGGGCTGGTTTGGAAACCATCATGCATCAGTGGCACCATCTTATAAGTTGGCTTTTGGGCCTCAAGAGATTGATGATGGAACGCATACATGCAACGGGCTCTAATGAAAACCTGATGGAACGCATACATGATGCAACGGGCTCTAATGAAAACCAGATTGCACGGATAGGTTCCTACCTCCTCCACAACATGGCAAACAAATCAGTGGAAGAGTGTCTCTGAAAAAGCACCAAAGAAAGCTCCTGGATAGAAATGAACAGCTGAAATGCCTCCACCAAGATCATGGGGGTCAATGAGAAATGCCTGCTACACAACCATCCAATAGGCGGCCATCCCATGGGAAGAACATGGCAACCAAGATAACAAATGCTAAAGACCCACCTTTTGTGGCACCAACTTAAAAGCTTATTTTATCTTGAGGCCATGTTTGTTTGGGTGGACATGAGCTTGGGATTGAACTAATAGTCCAATAAATTATTAATCCGATGTTTGGTTAAACAATTGAGGTACAGACTAATTATTTTAAACTTGACTATTAGTTAAAATAGGATACATAATCCAACGGATTCGTAGTCCTAGGACTATTAGTCATGGGAATGCTAATCCAGTCCGCCCAAACAAACATGGCCTCAGATAGTAATGAAACCATACTGTAATGTTGAGCTGTTGAGCAATGCTAAAAATTGATAATACAAATTAAGAAAGGGTCTTGCGCAAACAAATCAGAGGAAGAGTGTCTCTGAAAAAGCACCAAAGAAAGCTCCTGGATAGAAATGAACAGCTGAAATGCCTCCATCAAGATCATGGGGGTCAATGAGAAATGCCTGCTACACAACCATCCAATAGGTGGCCATCCCATGGGAAGAACATGGCAACCAAGATAACAAATGCTAAAGACCCACCTTTTGTGGCACCAACTTAAAAGCTTATTTTACCTTGATTGTAATGAAACCATATTGTAATGTTGAGCTGTTGAGCAATGCTAAAAATTGATAATACAAATTAAGAAAGGGTCTTGCTAACAAATGTCCCTAGGGTACGAGTAAATGACACAAAATTTGAAGAACACAAGACACTTTATACTAAATTTAATACACTTTTACTGAAATCAACCCACATTTAAATTTTTTTTTTTTGGCACAAATTTAATTCCATTTGGCATCTTATATGTTAGTAATGCATTTGTACAAAGCATGGAAGGAGATCTTAAAAAGAGAAAGTACTAGCACAATAGAGAGAGATTCAAAAATAGAACCTTAAGAAATGGAACTATTGCTGAAACAAAGCTGTAGAAAGTCTGTTATTTTCTTTTCTTGGCAAAAGCAATAAAATTTTACACTCAAATGCTTCATCAGCAAATACAGTTCAGACAAAATTCAGACCGAGTAGGTCAATATTGGTTAATTTCTTCCAACAAAATAAAGCAAAGCATGCAAATCATGGAGACATTCATCTAAAAGTACCCCTTGGTTGCAGACTTGCAGTGATAACAAAGCATTGTGTTGTGTACAGGGATGGAACCAGGATTCCATTACCGGAAGAGTTAAAATAAAAATAATTTTTTTTCACCAAATATACAAAACACACATGTATGTATATATGATATACAAATTATATATACATAAAAAATAAAAATAAAAAAACCATAAAAGCAAATTTCTTATAGGATGAATAAGTTTTTTTTGGATGTAAAATAGAAAGAGAATTCAAGATGAAAGAAAAATGATATATATATATATATATATATTTTTATATATTGAGTTGCCATTTTATTATATATATATATATATATATTAAAGTTCTATAGCACACAATAATATTCACAGAAATAGGAGGGCTATGGCCCCCATAGTCTTCTCCTAATTCCGTCCCTACTTGTATAGTTGAGAAAAATACCATGACACTTGCACATACTATGTAGTTTTGTTCATCTGATGAGCTATGATGAAACGAATGTTAGAGCAAATCGTCTTGAATCCTTTAATTGGTGGTCTTCGGATCTTTAAACCTTGGAGACGATCTTGTCTATGTAGGACAGAAATTTGGTGCTTCAAGTCGCGTTACTAAGTTGCTTTCTTAAAGACAATATTTGCACCCACTAAAATGTGTGCAGGAGGTTACAGCAAATTTGTCTCCAGATACAACGAAACCTGATCTAAAGATCAAATTTACTGGCATCTGCACTGACGACAGTAGATCAGAATACTCTTGATATAATCAAGAAAACCAAGACACTAATAATCAAATCTGCAAAACTTGAATACCAATAAGAAAAACAAAAATTTACTTAAGAAACTCTTGATTGAAAACTCAAAATCAAGAGGGAAAGCGAGAGAATTGCAGGAATGAATTCTGAATTTTTGGATGGAATGAAATGGCTTATTTCGTAGCCTATTTATAGGCCTTGATGCACCTGATTGAATAGCCATGTTCCTTGATTGCATCTGATCAGATCTGACCGTTGGATCGACGATCTATAGTGTAGAACATTCTCACACCGAATAAATGCATTAACTAATCACACCTGATCATGATCGGGTGCCATCTCATCTGTACGATTGCGCACATCTCCAATCAATGGCTATCATCAACCCGCTCTAGATCGAATACGTCACTCCTACGTGGAGTTGACTATATTCCATGACACCCATGCCACGTCGGATCCACGTCATCACTCCCACTTGTCCAATGCAAATAGGAAAGCGCCCTCATGGCGCCTCGCGCCGATGCAAAGTGCAACATCAAACGCCACACAGCATATAGCCCACGCCACGCGCGCATGTGCAGAGCACCATCCTTGGTGTGTGAGTGCATGCACACTAGCTTTCATCTCACAATTCCATATTCAAAGTAATATTTCATGTAGTACTTTATTAAATGCTCCATGTTTTCCTCTCTTTCCGATGTGGGACAAAGCCCGAAGTTTATTTCATGGTTTCCTAAGAAAAACATGGAAGGTTTTGAAAACACCCAAACTATAAATTGAAAACTCATTTTGAAAATTCCCCAACATCGAATTGCGCTTATTTTCCCCCAAACTGAAAGGGGAAGAACATGCCATCCTTTTTTCTGCTTTCCTTCCAAGATTCCAGAATTTCATACGCAAATCGTAGGTTGCGACAGTTGCCAACTTTGCCTGTTGGCACGTCAAGTTCTACCTCTTCAATGTGTAGGTTTCCATATTTGATATGATTTGAGAAATTGTCATCACGACCAGCTGGTGCATCAGATGTCATATCAACAGTCAAATCCTCAAGGCTGGTGAATAGGTTAGCCTTTCGGTCTCCATTAGAGGCATAACTTGAGAACCAAAACATTTCTGAATCAGCATCATCCTCTGTGTTACTGCTCTGATCAACACTAAATATATCGTCTGAATCAGAATCATCTTCAACAGTATTTGCTGAAAAAATGTGCACATTTATATTTTCATCACAACCTAATCTCCCATTATTACCGACCAAAGGTGATTGGTCCACAGACACATCGTCAAAAGCAACTGTACTTGAAATCTCTCTCCAATTGTTGGATCTACAGAAAGATAACAATGATTTTGACAAATTTGATACAGTGGCTTCTATTGGTTAATCAAAATTACTGAGAGCATCCAACAGTTCCTTCAAACTCTCCTCACTGATCCTGTCTCCATTACACTCAAACAGGTCTGTCAACTGCTTTTCGCTAGCTTGAAATGGAGCATGAGCCATAGTGTTGATTATGCCGACAACTCTTTCAAAATCATGTTGAATTAATGCTTGACATATCAATTCAGTAAGCATGGATGGATGAGGTATTTCACCAGCTTCCAACATAGTGTCAAATGCATGTTCCAACAAATAAAACTGCAACCAAAACAGAAGGGTTGAAAGGTAAAAAAATTTAACTAATCTGCCATGAGAGAGATATCCAGTAACTTCTAAAACAGCACTACAGCTAGCAAGGCACAGAATTGATAACACAAAAATAGAATAATCTAGCTTTTTAGTCAGCGTCTTCCTTTGAGCAGTTGGAACACACCAATTTTATGAATCCAAAATGAAATTTCTTGTCTCGCATTGAGTTATGATCAGTAGCTCTAAAGAACCACTAAAGGCTCAAAGAAACTAATCCAACGATCACACTCCTTGCGTCGAACGTCAGAAACAACACAGGCACACCAGTACACAAAGTAACGAAAAGAAAGCCAAGCACTAAATTACACACTATCAAATTTATGTGAAAAATAATGCACGAAAGTAGCTAGCAACGACCATCTTGCACTTGGAGAACATATAACTTTTGGTTATACAAAGGAGAAAACAAAATGGCAATGGAAATTTTGGAGTCCATATATGAAGTATCTGAAATCAGATAAACAGCCAGAGAAAACACAGCCACTATCACTTTGTTGTTGGAGTATGAACAACAGAAAAATCATTCCCATCAGATGTAATTATCAGAGTTACAAAGAAGAGTTAATATAACCATATAAGATTAAAATATTACTTTTTAATAGAAAGGTAGTAGGCTAAA